TCATGGTCACCAGGCTCCAGCCCCCTGTCTTAGTGGCCGTCCCTTCCCCAGAATTGTCCAGGATGTAGGTCTCTGCTGGTGCAAAAGAAAACACAGTGCTTCAGATGCATCTTCAGTCCATCCCTCCACCTCAGTAATACATAGAATCACTAAATTATTAAGGTTGGAAAAGACCTATAAGATCATTGGATCCAACTAACACTGACAAGCACACCACTTAACCATGTCCCCAAGTGCCACATCCACAAGTCTTTTAAATTTCTCCAGGGATAGTGACTCCACCATTGCTTTGGGCAGCCTGTTCCAATGATTGACAACCCCTGTTATCTGTGGTCTTGTTTGCAACTACCACAGATTGATGGCTTGGTTCATCTTGTTCACTCAGTCATCAGGTTCTTTATACATCACTTTGCTTCATGGCTAGCAGTTCAAAACTTCCATTTCTTTAAAAATGTACAATGAGCTCCTTGGTCTTGTTAAAATAAAGTTCTTCAATCAAAATCACACTGATTTCTAGCACTGGCTATTTCAAATCAGCTCACAAAAAGCTGCCATAAAAATGGTGTTGTCGCTAAAGTTGTAAAATAAAAGAAGACTCAGACACGTAGTGATGAGGTATGGAAGCAAGGCTTGTGAGACTCTTGGGGTCTTCTGTATGAGTATTGCAGTTGTTACAGATAGCTTTGCTAGTTGTTTGTACTGACAATATGGATCTGGTAAAAGATGCTTTTTTCATAATGCAAAATCTGTGTTGTGTAACTTCTGGAAGTATTTACTTTTTCAGTGCAGAGAAGCAATGTCGGACAAAATTAGCTCACTGACTGCAAAGAGAATATAAGCGTACAGAGTTGTGCAACAGGGAACTCTTACTGGACTTAAGAAAGAATTTGAGACCACAAACAGAAGGAGAGTTTGTAAGATGGGAATTAATAATATTATAATTTTGATCTGCACCTGCAAAGGACATTATCTGCATCATCCTCCCATAAGTAAGATTCACAGAATCTCAAGTTGGAAGGACCCGTAAGGACTGAGTCTAACTGCCTGCTCCTCACAGGACTGCCTAAAACTAAATGACATGACTAAGAGCATTGTCCAGATATTCCTTAAAGGTTCAATAGTGTTGCTGAAAGGATAGGAAGAGAGAGTTGAAATAATATTCCTTTAATGAGATTTGAATAACAAAGCTCTAAAAATTTCTCATTACTTATTTTCACAATACTCTTCAATCCTGTGCCTGATCAAAGCTTGTTTTCTTGTGGGTAGAAATCTCTGTTTGGAGTAATTTAGCCATAAATTACTCACATCTTCAAGCAGAAATTTTGCAAATATAGGCTGTTATATTTGCAATATGTCTATTCTAAATAGATAATATCCTGCCTTCTGAAAGTTGGGTTCTCTTCTCTTGCCTCCACCAAAGAAGCACATGATTGCTTTTTAGATTGATCTGACCTAACTTCAAATTACCAAAACTACTGCAGATCAGGTGATTAACAGCCAAACTGTTGACTCATCTTCATGACTAATGGAGAATGACATATTTCCTTCCAGCTTATGATCAGGAGCTACAGTGCATCACTTTCTGCTGGTACCTGTCTGTCACCATGGATGGTGTTGGGCCCTTATGGTAGCTAATTTTGGCTGTGTAATTAACATATCTGCTCTCCAAAAGACTGGGCAAAACAGCTATGCCAAAGTTCGAGGAGCAGGAGAGCTTGTTCTGCAGCATGAGAAGGGTGTTAAAAGGCCAAGATGCATTTATCTCAAAAGGCCCAAGCAGAAGATTGTTCCCCAGATCAGATTCTGTTTTCTCACCAGCTTCATTTAGCAGCTTATTAAAAAGGACAGAATTGATCTTCTTGACTATATGTAATAATCACATAATGAGCATGAGTGAGTGGGCTCCCATTACATCTGGGCTTCAGCTCTTTCCAAGAACAAACTTGTTAAAAAATAAGTTATGGAGTTGTATTAGTTTGCAGAACTGCAGCTTCCCAGAAGCAGAATTGTTTGTGTTCGTGTCACTCTCAGTGCCTCACTCCTGACATTTCCCCTATAATTTTTTGTCATGCGGTAGATGGAAGCAACTAGAACATTGTCTGAGGGTGTTTCTCTTTCTATTGTTGTTCCTGGATATCAACCTTTGATGCATCATTTAAAACATACACCAACTGCTTTTGGGTAAACTCCCAGGTTTAACAGTAAATTACAGTAAATAAAAAATAATTGGTATTCAGCACTCAAATAGCAATTTCATACTATGGCTTATCCTTGTGACACTTCTTCCTAAGGGTCTTGAGTACCTCAGAATATTTATCCCATCAAGTTAATGCAAACTATTTAAAATTACTCCATTTGCAGCTATTATTAAGTGTTGTGACATGCTATGATTTTTCTCTTCGATTTATTTCTTTTAATATTTCCCATAGGAGCTAAACAGTCAAAAGTCCCTTCAAGCTTAAAAAAGGGTGGATTTTAATCAACTGCCCAGAGAATGTCTATTTATGCTCAAGTGGAGTTAATAGGTTTCAACAGCAACCCCACAATGGCCTGAAACAATGAGGTGTTTGAGCCTAAATGGATTTTACAGTATTGTACGTGAATGTGATTTTAAAATTCATATAAAAACTTTCCCATATCATGTTCATGCATACTTCATGCATATTTTAGTATTTCATCTTTTCCTTCTGTATGCTATTTCTAACAGAGCTGAAACACTTCCTGGAGCCGTAGATATTGTTAATTACTACTGGCATAGTAATATGATGAAAATACATACTGATTTTAGTGCATGTCCTTCTTAAGCACTATGATGGTAAATAACGGTGTGTATTGGCAGGCATTGCAATTCCTGGTTTGTTGTTGTTGTTGTTGTTTTTTTTTGTTTGTTTGTTTTGTTTTTTAAGAGCTTATTTCATCTGGATATGAAACATATCAGAGCACATTTGTTTTCTGGGAAGATAAAGGTGCGGAACATCTCTCTGTATTCACCAGCATATATGTCTACTGCTAACCCCACTCATTCCCATATGTAAGCCTCATCTGATCTTGACAGTACTTCTTTTTTTAATAAACCCACTGTTCTTTCAGTTCACTTGGAACACAAAGTCTTAATACTATCAATCTGATGAGATTTCTAGAGGTTAGTGCTTCTTCCATGCTTTTTATTTTTCTGGGTCATTGCCTTGCACAAGGTTACATGGGCAGAACATCTAAACAGCTAGTAAACTGTTACTATTACAGTTTCTTTGGCACTTGCTTCCATTCTCTGATCAATTCATAGTACATATGAATTCACTTCTTTGCGCACTTATTTTAAATACTTTTCTTTTATCTGCATTAGACAATGGTAAATGGGTCCTTCATTGAGCATAGCTCTCTAAATATGTTATGTGTTACACCTCTTCATCTTTCTATAAATTATGGTAAATAGCTCTCAGCAAAGTTAATAGTGACACAGTGTGTCAGCTTTGGCTGCAGGATTGTTTTACATGGGCTAAGTGTCACTCTTTAAGCAGTTGATTTCTAAAAAAAGAAAGTAACTGACCTGTCATGTCTCTTCCCTGTACTTTGTCCCCAGGTCATTGTCACTCTTGCTAAACAAAGGAGGGTTCACCGTGCCACAAGTGGCTGTGCTTTCTGACAGTTCTGAAGATGAAAGGTCCCCACTGGCACTTACTGTAGCTGAAATTGATTGAATCCCGCAATTGTTTTCCTTTGCTTCTCGGAGGGGCAGTGGTTACATACCTCATGTCTCCATCCTGAGACACCAGGGAGCTCTAGCATCTTTCCAGTGTCTTCAGCATTTTTATAATATTCCACAGCAGGAGTTCGTCTTTTATTTGCAGCTCAGAAAATTTCTTCTTGCAACCCTACCAGATTATCTCCTACCACTGGCTAGAGACCTTGAATCTCTTCTCCTCAGATTAAAGTCTGTAAAGGGATTTGTTTTGAATGTTGCTGCCTATTTCACTGCAATAACTTTCATGCTTTTTAGAAGCAGGGGAAATGGGTTGAAAAATGGGTTACAAAATCTCTGGTGGCCTGCTGGTTGAGAATACGTATTTTCATGTTTAATTCATTTTTTTTTCCTGAAACCCTTGCCAATGCTGTAGACAAAACCTGCTTGCAAAAAATGTAAGCTGCTCCCAGTGGCCTGGGAATATATTGGGTTTCCATTTTTATCAGGAGTTTTTTCATAGCCATATGTGGGAAGGATGTCAGGAGGCAGGTGCCTTGGCCGTGCCTTTAGGAGGTTCATTCTGGTTATCACTGTGTGAGGTACTTCAGCCTGGTCACCATGCACATAGTGCACATTTTTTGTTCTATATAAAATGAGATACTTAAAAAACAACTAGTTCAATTTGTTAAATCTTGTAGTACTTGTAGAATAGATGTGATCTTTTCCATACTGTGACCTAAAAGAAAGGTTTTCTTCTCTTCTTCAAGTTCTACTAAATAGCCATGGAATTTGACTGGTTATTTTTGTTTACATTTAAATTTTATTTCTCAGGTTTACATGTGGTTTTTTTTAATATATTTAAGTTTGTGTTCTCAATCAACTGGCACAAGCTGCCCAGAGAAGCTGTGAATGCTCCACCCCTGGAAGTGTTAAAGGCCACGATGGACAGAGCTTTGAAATTTGGTCTAGTGGAAAGAGGCCCTGCCCATGGCAGGGAGCTTGGCACTAACTGACTGATCCTTTAAGGTCCCTTCCAACCCAAACCATTCAATGAATCTATGAACTTAATTCTTCAAAGACTGAAAGAAACTGCTGTTTTTCTGTTTTAAAGATTACTAATTCATCTTTAATTTATGCCATTAAAACTGGGAATAGTATGGAAGAATAAAAATGTAGCTATGTGTAATTAAAAAAACCCCAAGAACAACCAACAAACAACTCAACCTTAGGTAAGGAATTGGACTTGCTAGCAAGAACTTAAAAAAATAAAATCTCTTTTTAAAATCTATTATCAATTTTGACTACTGTTTTTTTCCCCAAAGGGTGTTATTCTTTCAAGTTTTGAAGTGAAGCCACTGGTAGTAGTTTCAGTAAGAGAATTTTGCCCTGCTACTAGGTAAGTAAAAAGAAAACCTGTCTTTATTCTTGTTTCTATGTTTTTGGTTTTTTTTTTCAGTTTTGATAACAGTGGGACTATTCATATGGTTAAGAGCATAACTGAATCAGGCTCTCAGTTTATTGTTACTGTTTTATATCAAACAAAAATATTTCATATATACTTTCTGCCACTTTTACTAGTACTTTAACCTTTACAGTTGTCTAGTTCATTTATTACAGTAGATGTGAATTTCTGTTATCTGAGAAAAACTACCTGATGTTCACATTCTTTGATAATCAGACTGCACCACGACAAGTTGCTTCACGTTCCACTGGAAACTTTTTATTTTATTTTTATTTTTATAGGTGCAAAAGACAACTTCTAGCTGAGACAAGCTTTGCACAACTCCTGACTCAATCTGGTGGGACTCTGCCTGTGAGATGAGATGGAACACTTGCTGCTCAAGCACCATGAAGCTACTGGGTTGAATTTGTTTGACACAGAGTATAACCAGACAGGGACACAGAGTCAGACCTGTAAATTATTAATTCAGCCACCAGCAGCTAACTCTGCCCCTGCATTTGACTAGCTCTTATCACTGAGCTCACTGATCACAATTATGAAGGTTTATTTTGAAAAAGTGTCACTTTTTTTTTTAAACACTTAGAGATGTATAAGTGTACATTATCTCTTCTGAACTCACAATTCATGAAAGGATTTCAGAAGATCAGACCTACAAGTAAACTTATAGTTCCTTCTTGAGTTTGATTATATTATAGTTTGAGATCAATGGTACAATCTTGCTTTGAACTCATGTAGTAAATAAACTTGAAAAAACCCTCATTGTAATTAGTTTTTTTCCCTTACCCATAACATTGTCTGCAGGATTAGGCTCAATGTAGTAATTTATTGAGTACTTATGCAAGTTGCTGAGCCCTCTGAGCTCCCACAGATGTCAGCTGGATTTGAATACTGATGGCTGAATTAAGTATCACGAGAATATTAAAAACAGGGTTTATAAATCACTCCTTTCCCTTGTTACTGATAGTAGTTATTGCCACTTATCATATTGAGTATTTCTTTATTTAACCTGAAATTGTCACTGAATGCACAGATAGATTTACATCTGACATTGTGTTAATGAAGAACTATCTTATGAAAAAAGATAACTGTCTTATAAGAAGCCCTGTAAACTACCCATACTACTTCTGTCAGATGAAAGTAAAAAGGAATTAGGTAACCTATTCCTTAATTTTCAAATAAAAATGACCTCTCTCAAAATTGATGGAGAAATAAATAATCATGGGAATCACGAGGAAAGCTTATTTTATGACTTTTCTTTTTAGTGTTGACTAGGAAGGAAATAAATGTTAATGGTAAAAAATGTTAAGTATACTTGATAATAGCTTATACATATATTTATAAGCACATACTATTTAATTTTAAGGAGAAAAATCAGCAATTCCCCAATATTGCAGATATTTGAATATGATTTTTTTAAAATTTTTTTATTTAAAATTTTCAATTGGTTGAGCTAAGACGTGCTAATTATACTCGTAAGAGATATATTAATTTTGAACCCATATTCTAAAGTGACTGTAAATAAACACCTAATGTGGTGTTTGCCTTTTTAAGTGGTGACTTCAGATAAAATATTTTGGGGATTGTCTGGTTGTTCAGCCCAGAAAAGAGAGGCAAGAAAGGAGCAAAAGGAAAAAGTATTTGACAGTCTGTTCACTGCAGTTTATTTTACTGAGGCTTAACATGTCAGACCTCTGGAATATTTTATTAGCTTCAGTGGTAAGCAATCTCAGGCAGAGTTGAATTAGCAGAAACTAGATGGGTTAAAAACAAGAGAGAAAATATCAAACTTCGATATTTCAGAATTTCGACATGAGCTGAATTTCCCAAGAGTCCAGGAAAGCATCCCCTCCCATCATTCCCTCCCCACCCACTGCCAGTTGACAGCACTTTCATGCATCTTATTCATGAATTATGAGCTGAAATATGTGAGGCAGTGACTCTTTAGAAGATGGAAATTAGAAGAGTGTCATGGAAGTTCATTGCACTAGGATCATTCTTAGGATCTGGCCTTTTGTCTGCTTGCTTGCTTTGTAACTAGGCTTCAGTGATTATTGCAAAAAAAGAAAAAAAACTAACTACTCCACAAAATGATTAAAAAAATACCAACTACCCCACAAAAACCTACCCCCTCTAATTCCAAACAAATATTTATGTCAGTGTTAAAACACATTCTACTCCTCTTTTTATTTTTTTTTTCCACAGATGCTGTGAGACTTGATGGCAAGAGACTAAGAAGAACAGGTATCATTCGCATGCATGAATAGTTATAGGAACTGCAACTCAAGCCCATCTTTACCCATGATCACTGGGAAATTGCTTGCTTTCAGGGAAAAGTAACACCAACTCCATTACTAGTTGAAGCTTAACAGCAAAGCTTGATACATGTATGTGATGAATCTGTCAAACGAGTAATTAAAAAGAATAAATATGAAAAATTACCATAACTGAGATGTTTTGATTGATACTGCAATTATTAATATTAATATTTGTTGATTAAATACTTTCCTCTAATTTCTGCAAGTAAAATGTTCTTCTCACTGGAATTGATGCAATGATGGTACATGATGCAACACTGCATGCAAAGAGTTGTGGTCAACAGCTCACTGTCCATATGGAGACCAGTGGCGAGTGGTGTCTCTCAGGGGTCTGTACTGGGGCTAATACTGTTCAACATCTTAGTGACATGGACAGTGGGATTGAGAGTGGCCTCAGCAAGTTTGCTGATGACCCTAAGCTGAGTGGTGCAGTCACACACTGGAGAGAACAGATGTCATCCACAGGGACCTGGACAGGCTTGAGAGACAGGCCTGTGCCAACATCATGGATTTCAACAAAGCAAAGTGCAAGGTCCTACACCTGCGTTGTGGCAATCCCAGATGCACCTACAGATTGTCTGGAGAAGTGATTGAGAGCAGCTCTTTGGAGAAAGACTTGGGTGTGACGGTTGATGAAAAACTCAACATGATCTGGAGTGTGTGCTTGCAGCCCAGAAAGCCAAACATGTCCTGGACTGCATCCAAAGGAGTGTGACCGACAGGTAGGGGACGAGATTCACCCCCTCTACTCTGTTCTTGTGAAACCCCACCTGGAGTACTGGGTACAGTTCTGGTGCCCCCAACATAAAGACATGGAACTGTTGGAGCAAGTCCAGAGGAGGGCCAAGAAGTTGGTAAGAGGACTGAAGCACCTCCCCAGCAAAGAAAACAGGCTGAGAGAGTTTTCTGTTCATCCTGGTGAAGGTTGTATAGAGCCCTCATAGCAAACTTCCAGTATCTGAAGGGGACCTACAGGAAGCAGGATAGGGACTGTAGTGACAGGACAAGAAATAATGGTACAAATTGAAAGAGAAGAAATTCAGGTTACATATTAGGAAGAAATTTTTCACTGTGAGGATGGTTAGACGCTGGAACAGGTTGTCCAGCAAGGCTATGGATTCCCTAACCTTGGTAGTGTTCAAAGCCAGGTTGGCTAAAGCCTTGAGCAATCTGGTTTAGTGGCAGGGAGGGTTGGGATTAGATAATCTTTAAGGTTCATTCCAACCTCTTAGCATTCTATGATAGTAAGATTCTATGATACTACTTGCAAGAAGGAAAAGATATTGATTGATTTCACTGAACATTGCGCTTACAAATTGACTTGCACTGTATACATAAAAATTAACTATACAAGCTGGAAGTTTTTCAGTTTTCAAATAATAATTAATTATAACCCTTTTGACTTGCAACTTGAAATGTAACCTTTAACTTTTTGATAACTTAAAACCCTAGGTCACAAATTAAAATACAAAGGTTTGTACTATGAGTATAAAGAAAATAACAAATCCGTATAACTCAGTTTGCCAGGTGACTTTTGAGCATGCAGCATTTTCTGACAGCTAATTGAAAAACATCTGTGGACACAGACTTGGCAAAATGACTGTTGCTGCCTTCTGCGCCTTGATTTTAGGATTGACAGAGTGCTTGTAACACTTGGAAGGTTACCCCTACATTAATTGTTGCTTCAACAGGATCTTCTAAAAGACTGTAAGTTAATATTCTTCCTGGTAGTGATTTATAAATGTGCTTTTCAGCAGAGGTAATAATCTTATTAGCTTTTGCACAAGATAATCGTTGCTACAGCAAGTAATTAATGAATTTTATGAGATTGTTGGATTCCTAACTGTCATGGGAGCTGCAGACTGCATGCGCTTGGCAATGCATGCATCACCACATGATGACTAATGAGGCAAGGTAAAGAAATCAAGAACTTTTTCATTCCCTCAACATGTAGTTGATTGCAGATATAAAATCATTGATGTACTTGCCAAGTTTCCAGGATCTGGTCATGATTTATTCAGACTTTGACAATCAGGAGTAGGTCAATATTTTTAAGATGGTCAGATTCAAGGAGACTGGTTAATAGATAAGTAGAAGTATTGCTTGTAAGTAAAAAATTGAATACATATTAAAAATGAAATTATTATTTACAGCTTGCATTTTTAGGTCACAGTTGTTCTCCTCTGAAGAAATAACTAATGACTATGGTTCAAAATCCCTAAACTCCATCTGAGTGACTTTATAATGAGACACATAAATTCGTAAGAGCTATAATTGAAAGAACCATGGCAATCTGAGAAAATAATACAAATGACTCTCCAATTGTGGGTGACATTTTATAAGACAAAACTGTTTGAATATTTGTGAAACTTTACTTGTGTTCTGCATATAATGCAATCAATCAGACCTATAAAATAAAAAATATATAATAAAAATATATAATATAAAATATATAATAGAAAATAAAATATATAATAAATATCTGAGGAAGAGAACGAGGTAGCATGTCAAAATATAAAAGTATACTTAGGAAAATTAAAATTAGTCTGGTAACATGACTTTCTATTTTGTTGACACATAAGAAACATTTAGAATTATTTGGTTTATTTGTATGAGGTATCAGGTAAAGTTCAGGTTTGTTGCTGTGCATTAAATTTCTTCTCAAGAGGTGTATATATTTTCTATGAAGTGTATTTTTAAATATATGTTTCTCACAAAAGGGATTGTTTTTTTCACCACTGTGGCCTTTGGAGACCCAGTAATTACACGATGATAGTCTTCTACCTTATGTTCAGTATTTGACTTGTTGAAATAAGAGCTGAAGAACTAACCGTCACACACCTTACTATCACAGAATCTTCTGACTCACAAGGACCATTGAGCCCAACTGTGAATGACCTGTATAGGGACTGAACTCACAACCTAGGCATCATCAGTACCATGCTCTAACCAACTGAGCTAGTCTCAGGGTTGATACAGTCTCTCACAGTATCCCTTAGGACAAAATGTTCAGCATGCAGCAGAATAACCATGTTATATATAATGGGTGAGGAACTGGCTCATAGGTTGGGCAAAAGGACTTACATCTAATAGGGTGACATCAGGCTGGTGACTGGTTGCTAGTGGGGTTCCAAGGGGTCCTATCTTAGGTCCTGTGCTCTTCAACATCTTCATTAATGACTTGGATGCAGAACTCAAAGGAATACTAAGATTGCCAATGACACTAAAGTGGGAGGAGCTGTCAATCAGAGAGGTCCTGCAGAGAGACCTTGACAAATTAGAGAGCTGGGTAATCACCAACCGTATAAAGTTTAACAAGCATAAGTGTTGGATTCTGCACCTGGGTTGGGGCAAATCTAGATCTGTGTATAGACTGGGAATGAGAGGTTGGAGAGCAGTGCCATGGAAAGGGATCTGGGGGTCCTGGTCGATGGCAAGTTGAATATGAGTCAGCAGTGCCCTGGCAGCCAGGAGGACCAACTGTGTCCTGGGGGGCGTCAGGCACAGCATCATCAACCAGTTGAGAAAGGTGATTGTCCTGCTCTGTTCTGCACTAGGGCAGCTCAGCTTGAGTCCTCTCTGCAGTTTTGGCACCACGATATAAAAAACCCATTAAACAACTGGAGAGTGTCCAATGAGGATGGTGAAAGGCCTGAAGAGGAAACCGTATGAGGACTGGCTGAGAGCACTTGGTTTGTTCAGCTTGGAGAAGAGCAGACTGAGGGAAGACCTCATTGTGTCTCAACATTTTCATGACAGGAAGCGGAAGGGCATGCACGGATCTCTTCACTCTTGTGACCAGAGTGAAGAGATTTGAGGAAATGACATGAAGATGAGTCAGGGGAGGTTTAGGTTGGCTCAGTTTGGCTTTCAGAAAAAAGATTTTCACTGAGAGGGTGGTTGAGCACTGGAACAGGTTCCCCAGGGAAATGGCCATAGCACCAAGCCTGACGGAGTTCAAGAAGCATTTGGACTCTCAAGCACCTGATGTGATTTTTGGGATGTCCTGCTCAGGCCTATGAGTTGGACCTGATGACCCTGATGGATCCCTTCCAATTCAATATATTCTATGATTCTATGGTACTGTCTTATCTTTTTAGATAAAATTATGGTTTGAAAAGTTACTTGATGGACCATTAACTGGAAGAGACATCTAAGCTGGCATCATAAATTAAAGCAAGTTCAGTATTTTTCTGCAAGTTCCTTCCTTTTCCACCTGCTCTTCTAGAGCAAAAAGCTATTGAGTTTCCCCCAAGGTATTTTTCTGTTGGATGATTGCAAGTGAGTGTTAATAACCATCTTTCACAGAATCACAGAATCACGAAATATTTGGGACTGTAAGATAACTCTGGAGGTTTTCTTGCCAAATCTCCTTGCTCAAACAGGGGTGCCTAGAGCCAGTTGCCCAGGACCGTGGCCAGATGGTTTTTGTATATCTACAAAGATAGCGACTACACAACCTCTCTGAGGAACCTGCGCCAGTGCTTGGTCGTCTTTGCTGGGAAAAAGTGTTTGCTGATGATCATATGGAGTCTCCAGAGTTTCTGCGTGAGCCCATTGCTTCTGGTCCTGTCACTGGGAACCATTTAAACCACTACCTGGCTCCATCCTTCCCCTCCAGTGTTCAGATGCATGGGTAGGATATCCCTGAGCCTTCTGTTATCCTGGTTGAACAGTCACAGCTCTCTCACTCTCTCCTCACAAAAGAGTTGCTCCATCCCTCAATCATCTTGGTGACCCTTCATTGGACTCTGACAAGTATTCCCATGCCTCTCTTTTACTGGGAAGCCCAGAACTGAATCCAACACTCCATATGTGGCCTAGCCAGTGCTGAGCAGACAGGAGGGATCACCTTCCTCAACCTGTTGGTGATACTTTGCCTCATACAGCCCAGGATACCATCAGCCTTCTTTGCAACATGGGCACATTACTGACTCA